CCTTCTTTCCCCGAACACATCATACCCTCAATACTGTCTCTTATACACATCTAGATGTGTATAAGAGACAGGCCCGAATTTCGCTGGGCCCAGCGGGAGCGTCACGCGAGACCCGCTTCTTGCTTTATAGTATTAGAGATAGTAAAAGCTCAAAAAAAAAAAAAAAAAAAAGAGGTTGTAGAGCTCAAAAAAATCTAAAACGGTACAACCGCCTTTTTTTTCTTTTTTTTTTTTATTATTATTTTTAGCCCACTAAAAAAATCATCGCAGGTCCCGTTGTAACCCGTCTAACGGGCTTTTCAATGGGATTCAACGCGGATTCAACGCGCGTTGAATCTTTCAATGCGGAACCAGCGTTGAATCGATTTTCGGACACACAGCAGATATACATGACAACACCAGTGACCAAAGGTGCATGGTTTCTTCAAGCTTCTTCGTAAATATACACAAAGGCTGACAAAGCAATACACTTAAAAAAAGAAAAAGAAAAAGAAGCACGTTTTGTTTATGGCTATCCAAAAACAGTTACAACGTCAAGCCAAGTAATGAAATGGAATATATGTCTGCTATAATTATCAGTAGTATACGACATTTCCAAGGGCTGTCACTGAAAGACACACATCGGAACAGCACACACTCGCAGCAAGCATTACCGTCTTCCCCGGACATAACGCATGCGTTCTATTCGAGTTTTCGGGGGGGGGAACGGATGATTCAAATAGACTGCATATGTGCTGTATTCGAATACACCAGCCGTTCGAATAGAACGCACATGTGTTGTATTCGAATAGAAAGCAACCAATGCGCTGTATTCTTTTATGTTCGGGGGAAGACGGTCACCATTCAGACGTGGAGATACCTTCAATATCACTACCAACTTCTCCCCAACATAATGCACCCTGATTATGGCTGTATCATACCGAAAAGATAACATGTATGCATACTATGCATTCATATCAGGGTGCGTTATGTTCAGGAGAAGACAGTAGCGGCGGAGTACGAGGAGTGGCGCAGGGGCAAATTGAGGGGAAAAGGGGGTAAACCTAAGGGGTGGATGAGGAGGAAGAAAATGATTTTATTACCTTTTAGCAGGGTGGAGATTTCAATAAAGAGTGACATGCACTTAGATCTGCAACACCCCTCCATCCTCCCCGTTTGCACAAAGAGCCATTCCGCAAACTCGTCCACTGTGTGGAACATTCGCCTGTCTTTCCTTTCGTGCCTTAAAGGGTCCTTCACCCGCTGGATCAGTCTCCACAGATTATCCAGTGTCTTGCTTGCCTGCTTCATCGTCCCTGTAACCACCCAATGCATGATCATTGCTAAGGTAAGATCCTCCTCTCTTCTCTATCTCCACCTTATTCAAGGGAATAGAGGGTCTCACATAATGGTGTTCCGCGAAACTCGGTTCCCAGCTGGGCCCAGGGCAGCGTGACTTATTTATTTATTTATTTTTGGACCATTTCTCAGCGTGTCTTCCTTGCACAGGGGCCATGCTAATGTTCTCTGTATCATTCAAATTTTAACGGATGTCCCTAAGTACAGGGCTGCGTGATTTTGTTTTCTGGTTTTGGGACAGATTCTTCATTTCCTGTCGACAGGTTTTGTTTGCATTTCCAATTTTCCATCCATGTCGTTTCGTTGGCTAAGGTGTAGAGATTCCAGATTTTCCGTCGGCGGGTTTTGTTTTTGTTTGTCGTTTGTGGTCGCCTTTGTTTCGTTTGTTGTTTCCCAGTGCTGCAGTGCAGGTTTTGTTTTCGTTTGTCGTTTTTTTTTTGCCAGATGTTCAAATACAAGTACATAGAACTTGATAGATAGAAGGCCCATTTAGATGGAGAGAAGATGCGTGACTGTTAGCATCCAGGTGACGCCCCAAAAGACAACGAGAAAGATCTCAGAGTTGTTTTCTTCCTACTTTTCTTTGCAGGAATCGAGCTCAGGTCTGTCCATCAATAGCCTGATGAGTGTACCATTCAGCCACATGGGCTTGGCATTTTTTATTTTTTTTTCCCCTAGCAGTTTGCACCACCCAGCCAACGTAGCATCGCCCAGCTACCCCACAATGCACCGGCCAGCCCACATAGTACCTCCAGTCCACGTACTATGACCCACCCCTTAGTACCACCCAACCCACTTATTATCACCCAGGCCACATAATACCACCCAGACCACATTTTACCACCCAGTACACGTAGCATGACCCACCCCACATAGTGCAACCCAGCACACTCATTATCTAGGCTGCACTCCCCGGCTCGTCGCCCGGGCGGGGGGCTGGGCCGCCTGGCCAGTCGTCCCGCCCGGTTGGCCACCGGGCGACCCCAGCGCATCATAGAGGTTTTTTTTTTTTTTTTTTTTTTTTTTT